GTCGTAGTGATTGAATACAAAGATTTAACTACTTGTCTTCCGGCAACACAACTCTGGTATCTTACAGAATTATAAATACAGAACACAACTCTGCTATCATACAGAATTATAAATACAGTAGTTCAATATAGCTTAGGCTGATCATTGTGACGCACGTCCAATCATATCAGCCAAGCAAAAAGCAAACCTCGCCTGTGAAGTTCTTCACCATTAACCATGAATTTACTACCTTTTAATGCTCATGCGACAAACTTAAAAAGTCCCTTTTCTCCAGCGATGTACCAAAAGATTCACATGAATCATAATACTTTTACTTACAAATTATATGAATTCTTGATAAACTAAACGAATAAGCACAGTAATAAGGATAAGTTAAGTACAGTCTACCTCGACCACTTCAGTTACGAAAATGATAAAAAATTACTTAACAAATAGGCAACAAGAGGTAATACATCATGCTGCAAAAATGAGATCGTTAATCCCGATGATAAATCATCTAATCAACTTCTTCAATTGTCGGCCCACCGCCTGTCGAACCGCCACCTGGAGCTCCGCCGGGCATACCACCAGGCATTCCTAAAGTGCCATTTTTATAAATTAGCTTATACTACAATGCACGTTCTATCATACTAAACCAAACTAGTAGTGAAATATATGATTCAAATTACGCAAATATTACCTCCAGGCATACCGCCAGCGCTCTGGTACAGTTTCGTAATGATCGGATTGCAGACAGATTCTAATTCTTTTTGACGATGCTCAAATTCATCTTTTTCAGCTGTTTGGTTACCATCCAGCCACCTAACTGTTTCGTCGCATTTCTCTTGAATCTTCTTCTTGTCCTCCTCCGAAAGCTTATCTTTCAGCTAAAAAGAATGATTCATGTTAAAGCATAATGTTCCTCGAATGATGAGTCACAAGGCACCCGTCAGGTAAAAATGTTCGTGCAACTACCTTCTCGTCCTCGATTGTCTGCTTCATATTAAATGCGTAAGATTCGAGAGCATTCTTCGCTGCAATACGATCTTTTTGTGCCTCATCATCCGCCTTATATTTTTCTGCTTCCTGTACCATTCGCTCGATTTCATCCTTTGACAAACGCCCTTTATCGTTGGTGATTGTAATTTTGTTTTGTTTGCCTGTAGATTTATCCTGCGCGGAAACATTCAGAATACCATTTGCATCAATATCAAAAGTGACTTCAATTTGTGGAACACCACGAGGAGCAGGTGGGATTCCAGATAGTTCGAATTTACCAAGCAAATTATTATCTTTCGTCATAGCACGTTCACCTTCGTAAACCTAGAATTTAATTCATGATTGAGAATCACGAAATGTAGTCTTGAAACTATAAGAAAAATCTTCGCGCCCACAAAAATTACAAAAACAAACCTGAATGAGAACACCAGGCTGATTGTCGGAGTAAGTTGTAAAAGTCTGAGACGTTTTGGTGGGGATAGTAGTATTCCGTTTGATAAGAGCAGTCATAACACCTCCTGCTGTTTCAATACCAAGTGAAAGCGGTGCGACATCGAGTAGTAACAGATCTTGTACGGCTTCTGACTTATCACCAGAAAGAATGGCTGCTTGTACTGCTGCACCATATGCCACGGCCTACAATTTGTTACTTTAATATTTAGTTCACTAATGAATCCCAGAATTAAATGTCATTGAATTCATGAAAACCATTTCAAGTGGTAGCTCACCTCATCTGGATTGATACTTTTATTCAGTTCTTTGCCAGAAAAGAAATCTGACAGGAGCTTCTGAACTTTCGGGATACGGGTTGATCCACCTACTAGTACAATGTCATGAACTTGAGCTTTGTCCATCTTAGCATCACGCAGCGCTTTCTCAACCGGATCCATGGTTGAACGGAAAAGATCAGCACATAGTTCCTCAAAGCGAGCACGCGTAATATTGGTATAGAAATCAATTCCCTCGAATAACGAATCAATCTCAATACTGAAAGAAAATTTGCAACATTACATTAGCACCGAAAAAACTTTCAGTGCAAACCTTCACTTTTAAGACACTCCGCGAAAATATGTACCTCGCTTGAGATGAACTAGAGAGTGTTCGTTTCGCTCTTTCGCATGCCGTACGCAAACGACGAAGGGCACGTGGGTTGGATGCAAGATCTTTTTTGTGCTTGCGCTTGAATTCCGCAACGAAGTGATTCACCATGCGATTATCAAAATCCTCGCCTGCAAATGAATTCGACAATACCTATTTGCATAATTAACACATACAACCCATGGCAAATTGCAAATCCTTTAAAAAAATGACTTAGAAGAAATTTGCATTTTTCGAGATATACCTCCAAGATGAGTGTCCCCAGCAGTAGATTTGACTTCGAAAATACCATCCTCAATAGTTAGAATTGATACATCAAAAGTACCACCACCAAGATCAAAGATGAGAACATTGCGTTCACCATGACCCTGCAATGCAAAAAATTACATTTTGTTGATAAACTTATACTACCAGCACAATTCCAGCTGTCAATATGTACTACTGTATATTATGTGTCCAACCATAAGCACCTTTTTGTCCAAACCATAAGCAATAGCAGCCGCTGTTGGTTCGTTGATGATACGTAGAACATTTAAACCAGCAATTGCACCAGAATCTTTGGTTGCTTGTCGCTGTGAGTCGTTAAAGTACGCAGGAACTGTGATAACAGCATCCTTGACCGCATGACCGAGAAATGCCTCAGCCGTTTCCTTCATCTTAACCAAAACCATCGACGAAATTTCTTCGGGTGTGAAGGTTTTCGTTTCGCCCTTGTATTCAACCTGCACTTTTGGTTTACCACCACCGGCATTCATTACTTTGAATGGCCAATGTTTCATATCTGATTGTACTGATGTGTCATCAAACTTACGACCAATCAATCGTTTAGCATCTGAAAAGGGAACTATCTAGTGTTTTCTAAACAAATCCAAATCGTATCACATATAAAAAGTGGAACGTTACGGGTATAGCACCAATCTTACATCAACCACAAGCGTTTCAAATAAGAAAGATCTATTGATTTACCAAAAACAGTGTTGTGCGGATTCATCGCAACTTGATTTTTGGCTGCATCACCAATAAGACGTTCAGTATCGGTAAATGCCACATACGATGGTGTTGTTCGATTACCTAAAATGCCAAATGCCTCATTAACATAAAGAATGACAGACATCAATACTCACATTCATATGCTCAGCTTTCAGTACTGATGAACATTACTGATGAACATTATTAACAATGCTCTACATAGTGTAGAATCATTCATACGTCTCTCCAAAATCGATACAACTACCTACCTCCTCTTCAAGCACGTAACTCGATAGATGAGCTAAAGTATAAATGTCGAAACCTAGCACACTCCTACATGATTATACTTACAACTACTGACAAATACTTTATAAAATGCCTACACCGAAGGATAAGATGTCAAGTTAACGAATTTTAAGGACAATAAATGATTAGAAGTCGCAACCTTGATCGTTAGCAATGATTTCCACTTTGCCATGCATGAACACACCCACACAAGAGTAAGTGGTCCCAAGATCAATACCAATTGCGTTTTTTGACATTTTTGTTGCTTGAAGAGAAGTGTTGCAGTAACCAACAATGAATACGCCTGAAATATTGCAAATATACCAAAGAGATTCGCATAGATCGAAGGAATACATCAAACAAATACACCGTCCCACACCACCACCCCAACCAATACATCCCAACACGAAATACCACCGAACAACACACCGAAATAACGCGCCACTAAGGCGTAGCAGTTATTCGGTTCCTTTATAAGCAGAACACATCGAATGTTCTGGAAGGATAAGAAAGGAATAGTGCACAGACTGAGAGTGCCTCTGGTAGTACAACGTGCGAGTACTGTCAGCAGCACGCGAAAGATAACAAGTGACTGCAGCAAAAGATTAGGGAATGAGTGCGCGAGAAGTGAGACAGACATGGAGAGTGCGAGAATGTTCTAGAAACTCCTATAGGACTGCAGTAAAAGATCAGTAGATTGGGGAAGGTTCTGGAACGTTAATTTTTGGGGAAGTGCAGAGGGAATGGATGGGAAGGCTATCAATCGATTCGTTCCTTTTCATCATATTTTTGGGGGGATGCTCGTAACAGTTAAGTGATTTTGTAAATAGCTTTACATGTAGGCGTGTTGACTTGTCTAATTAATACTGATTGCTGTTTTTTTAAGACTTGAAATAAATCCACTTTGTAATTGAATACATTTAGGGAATATTGTGTTATTATCATTATTTAGGGAAATATTGTGTTATTATCATTACTGTCCAGTAGTACCTCAGCATTGTTGAATCCTCAGAAGTAATCTTGGACAGTTTTGTGATTGTATTTGGCGTTAACACTATCTATCCAAGTTGACCCGTTAAAGTGTGGACAGTGATGATGAAATAGGCTGCGCAGAACGAAAAACAAAATCATGGATTGAGGGCCTGAGCATGATACTGAATTCTGACCTGAGATTTTGACTCTGTGATACTTTTCCTCTTTTCGTGGTTGATTTTCTTGAACCCATTTGTACTTCTCTTTTTCCTAGTTCTTTTCGGTAACGTGAGATAACAAATTAACTAGCAAGGTGCAATGATTTTCAAATTCCAAAAACTGAACTCCCAAACTTGTACGTCGTTCATTCCTCTGAATCATCACTCCTCTTTCATATTCGTCAAATCACACAACATTTGTTTCGTTTGTGACTTCCGACCAAGATAAATGCGCATGCAGTTGTCCATCTGACTATAAAATGTTTTATAATTATTTATTGCTATATCGCTAGTTGTACTTACACATATTCCTAAAACACTGAAGCACAGTTCGACTGAAAGAAGCATGTAATTTTTTCGATATTTCTTATCCACTACTTTAATAAATTTATGCCTTTTCGTTAATCGTACAAATAATCAGAACTATCCATAAAAATTCATTATTTTTAATTTATAAATACAGCTTAAAGAACAAGTATCTTAATCGGTTGGTCCATTTCCTTGTGAGCCACCATTCGGTATACCGTGTGGCATTCCTGGAACAGACAAAATTAAGAGTTTTTGTCTTCTGTCACCATGCACTTTTCTTTGGAAATGACAAATTACTAATGATTTTTCTGTTGAATCACGACCAGTCCTGAACGTCGCAAATATTCTCATTTAATCAATAAACAATTTTCCACAGTGGTGGTGATTGACTTTTTTACAACGGACAGGTAATATTTTTTGTTACTGGGATAATATCATCGCTATGTCAGAAGAAAGACTTCGCTTAACATTCTAACCTTATCTTGATTTTGGGAATAGCGAAGCAATCTGAACATGAACCAAGTCCTTCAATTACGAAAAAAATTTCAGAACCGAAACTAGATCCAAAACTTGGTGAGGTTCATAAGAACTTTCCGTTAAAAAACGGATAAATTTCAGTAAGCAGTATGTGTTTAAAGATTTGACTAAATTTCATCATAAGAAGTCCTCATACCATCAAGCATTTTACCTGCACTCTGATACATCCTAGTAATGATTAGGTTGCACAGACCTTCCAGTTCCTTTTGTTGATTGGTTCGAACTCGTCCATTTCAGCCGTTTGATTACCATTCAACCACCTGATTACTTCGTTACATTTGTTTTCAGTTTTGTGATCTCCGAGGAGATTTGTCTTTTAACTATAATAACTTAATTTAAAGAAAAAACTTTATTCCAACCCTTCACAGTATTACAATAGATTGCCGAATAATATTAGGATAAAACTCAGTGAGCTCGTATCCTTTTTTTGGACTTTCTGATATAGCAAATTTTGCAGTAATGTTTTATGGTATCTCTTTAAATTTTTTTTAAATCATCACCTACCTTCTCATCTTTAATCGTTTGCTTCATGTTAAAGGCATACGATTCTAAAGCATTTTCGTTAATATTCGATTTTTCTGTGCTTCCTCATCAGTCTTGCGTTTTCCGGCTTCCTGTGCCATTTTCTCGATTTCGTCCTTTGACAAACCTTTATCGTTGGCAATTGTAATTTTATTATGCTTCTCTGTGGATTTATCCTGTGTAGAGACATTCAGAACACCGTTTGCATCAATGTCAAATGTAATTTCGATTTATGGCACACCATGAGAAGTAGGGGAGTTCCTGAAAATTCGAATTTGCCGAACAAGTTGTTTCCCGTTATCGCACGTTCACCTTCATAAACCTGGAATTGAGTTTGCTCTTCAATTTTTCGAAGCACTTAATACAGATTTTCAATATATCATGTAGGAACTGCGCACAGCTGGATCCGTTCTAAATTTGTATTTTACTATAAATTTGGTAATATCCAAAAAAAAAAAACAACCAGACAAATAACATGAAATCGGAATCACAAACCACCAAGATAATTATCTTCACCAGTTAATTTCACTTCAAAAATGCCATCCTCAATAGTCAAAATTGATACGTCAAAAGTACCTCCACCAAGGTCAAAAATTAATACGTTATGCTCACCACAACCTTATAAAATCAAACATATACAAAATAAGACTTAAATGTTTGTACGAAATCTTCGAAAGTCATCAATCCTTATATTTTTATTCTGTTTTGAGCAAACACACAATCTCAACAAAGATTTCAAGCAGATCTTTTTATCTAGACCGTATGCAATAGCAGCAGCAGTTGGTTCATTGATGTTTCGAAGAACGTTCAGGCCAGCATTGGTTCCCGCATCTTTAATTGCTTGTCGTTGGGAATCGTTGAAATATACTGATACGGTTACTACAGCATCTTATAATCAGTTGATGAAAGAAATTTATGATGTGATTATTTTGAATATATATTTTTCAGTGCTTCTATTAGAAATTGTTTCAGAGAACAGTGGCTTTTTTATTAGCTTTCTGGCAATATATTCTAAATAGTTGTAATGTAATTTTGCTAAACTGAACCGCTGGATGGATAGGAAACTCAAAATAAAACATGTGCGTGCTACAACGTTTGTTAGCTATCTAGTTAGCATCAGCAATTTAAGAAAAAATAAAAGTGAAGTATACCTTTATAGAATGTCAGTTGTTCTGGGTCATAAAATTACAAAAAAGGATTTTTTTCAGCATAAATTTATGCCGTATGAAGATCGACAGAAGTTAGACTAAAGCGTCGAACATAACTGGTATATCAACGAAGTGTAAAATAGTTATCAGCGTACCGAAAACAGTATTATGCGGACTTATGCCAAGTTTGTTTTTTGCCGCATCACCAATCAAACGCTTGGTATCAGTGAATGCAACGTATGTTGGAGTTGTTCAACTGTCTGTAGAGAAAGAAGTTTGATGGAAGAAGCTCTCTTTATCTCCCCCATCATTAATTCAACAAAGGAAAAATAGTTACTTTGATCATTAGCAATGATCTCCACTTTGCCATGAAGACACCAACGCAACATTTTGACTTGCTCATTATTTCTGATAACTTCTGTCTTCTCTGCAGTTTCCTGATAATAAAGCAACGCTGTAAACAAAATAATGAAAGCTTGCAATACAATATCAAAATAATGTATTTGAGACTTCTCGGAAGTAACAAATTTATACAGCAATGAATCAGAATATGTTAACACTTAGTAAAACCCATGAAGTGTCGGAAATCCAAAATTCATAATGCAAATTACTATATTAGATTCATGAGAAATATTTTTTATTAAAAATTATAAAATTATCCCTGTTTATAAAGAATTTCATAAAAACATGTGACTTAAATATTCGGAAATAAATTTTTGGATGAATTATAATCATGTTTGTAAAATTTCATATTGTTTGTCCCAAATTTAGAATTTACTTGGATTAATCAATCAATTTTATCTTAAGAAAATTAGTTTTTGTAGAGTATTATAATTTTTATTTATTATAATCTTTGATGTTCAAAATAGA